TGCTCATATACAGACATTAATTTATGTGTTGCTCTGTGAAAATAACGTAGCTCAACCATATTTTTGGAAAAACACAGTATTTCTGTCCAAATGCTGTGAACTAGAAATTGAACAAAAAGACATTCATACATTTTTCCATCTGTTTTATATTCCTGTTGTTTGCCTGTCTGTGTTTTTATCTGATTATTGGGGTTTCTACTCCATTAGCAGCACTTTAGTGTTTCAACCAAAACACTGTCACGTTCCAAAACCACAAACCAATTAACACACCTTCAGAACTTTCCTCTGACTCGTCCAAACCTGTTTATATGTTTGTTTTAATACACTCTCTCACGTTTGGGCTGCTTTTTTCTATTTTCATTTATACTTACTCATTAAACCTTGTGATTAGTAATTCCTTTGCTTATTCGAATGAGATCACATTCAGATTTGTAGTCACACCATTGTTAATTCGTACGTTTTGCTATTCCAAGTTATCACGTTCAGTCCGGTACAAAACTAGTTTAGACAAACACAGCACAATGAGGTTATTAGCTCAGCAGCCCATTATTTACAACTTACTTACGGCTTATCCGATTATGATTGATGATTAATTGATGTTGCTTTAATGGTCTTTTAATAGTAACATACTCACTGTCAGCCGTCAATCACAGCTGACAGTGAGGCGCTCCGCTGCTAAAAGCCATGGATTCTGGCAGTGAAAATGGTGACTCAGCACAGTCATTATATATAATATATAAAAGCTCTTCAGATATGTAGCTTCACCCAGAAGTGATTCACAGAAACAAAACCAGTTCAACCTAACAAATGTATTCATCCTTTAATAATTTAGTGCTGTCAGTGGCTATGGTAATTATTGTCACTGTAATCATTACATAACTTGTTCACTTTATTTATAGACACGCACTTATAAAAATTATATATACAAATTACTTTACAAAGAAAAACATACAATGTTAAATATGTATGTCATACATATACATATATATACATACACAAACCATCCTGTTCACACATAAATACACACATACAGACACATTTGCCCTCAAGTCAAAGTCTTACAATACCATTACAATAATACAAAAAAGAAATACAATTATAAAGCAGTATTTCCTAATCCACAAAACTGTGGAGAATCATTAAACTCCAACAACAGATTGTCAGAGGTTTTGATAACATTTTGGTTGAAATATTAGAACACAACACGACGTAGGAGTCAGTGTCAGACTGCAAAATGATGAACGTCAGCTTCTGAAACTTCTTAAGAGTCATCTGCTGCAACAAGAAACAAAGTTTTGACTGCATGCCACAACACATCTGCATAACATACGTACAGCTATAGGTGCATAGTTTTTCCCAGAGACATAACTGCCTTGCTGATATAGACTGCTCATGCTTTTCATAATAGTTCCTTTATTTCACGCTGCAGCCACATTCATATTTTCCACCACGCTGGCCACGTGCCTCCACGGACGACAATGACGGTCTGTTGGCCACCACCATATGTCAGACTGAAATATCTCAACTATTATTTGATGGATTGCAGTGAAATTTTCTGCAGATATTTATTGTGCCCTGAGGGAGACTTTAATGAACTCCTGCACCACTGTCAGGTCAAACTTTTTCCTTCCCACTTACCCAAGTCACAGTGAGCTTATTATTTGGGTCAGTTCCAGTGTTGAACTTGCCCAGAAGCAGCTAGTTCTCAAAAGTTTTCTGCCAAGCTGGAAAATGTTCACACCACCCCACCCCACATGTTTAAGCAATTGTTCAGAATGATAGGGGAACCAAAACTTATAAAAAAGGATCCAAGTTGAATTTTAGTCAAATAAATGTCAGCAAAATAGCATCAGTCAGTTTATTTTCCCAACATAAATCTTATTCATTAATGTTTGTTCCACTACATATTTTTCTCCTGGTGGCTCTATACCCCAGCTGCAGTGGCTCTATACCCCACCATGGGGACCTGCCCCACTGTCTAATACCCAGGTGGAGCCAAGCAGACTCTCTATTGCATTGCGTCTGCTCTGAACATCCTACTTCTACCAATGTTGACTCTCTGTTTGAGTCTGCTGCATTTGGGGTAGGGGTGCCGAGACAGAGGGTCACCTGGTTAACTCGTCTCAACGTTTGCTGCAACGCAACGTCATCTGACTGCGTTGGCCAATCAAATACATGCAAGTGCACA